TTAAATGCTCAGCTTCTAATCAGTGATAAGTAAAACAAGGGGAGAAAAAAAAAAAGTTCAATTCCTACCTAACCAGCTCATTATCCACGTAGCTGGACAGCAAGGATTGTAGGAAATGTTTTCCTCAGCCTCTCCTTGCCCCTGTCTCTGCACTTTCTGAAGGGACACGGTTAACGTGCAGTAAAATCAGTGCAGACGTTGAACATTTGATTTAGTGCTGTTAAAATCCAACCTTTCGAGGGATTACCTGTGCGAACCAGACCTGCAACTCATAACCCTGGGATGGGAAAAACAGGAATGAGGGGGAAATCGTGGGCAACACATTTTGGGATGGAACATCCCCTTTGGAAGCCTTTCACCCCCTCCTTTCACCCTGCCCACTAATAAGGGACAAACGCTGGAACAAAAGGGTTAAACGCCGGTTGTGTTCAGATAAACAAAGCTGCGGGAGATGAAGCAGGTGCCCTGCCAGCTGACACCCAGAGCAGCCAGGATTTGGCACGGGGGAGAGGATCTAAAAGGCTGCTCTGAGCTCCCAGACTCACCGTGCACGGGCTGTTTCTTGGCCGCAGCTCTGCCGGTCCTGTCCACTCGAAATCAGGAGCAACAATTGCTCCTGTTGGATTTCTCACCAGCTGGAGCGTAGCAAGGGGTGAAATGTGTTTTCTGGGTCTCAGTAAATAAAAATCAAGGAAGAAGGTCTGATAAATGTGCAAGGAAAGGGCAGGAAAGGGCTGGGTCTCTGCCACCACCTCAATGGGGAGCCTTTGGCAATTCCTGTGACTTTTTTTTTCCCTCCTCCTTCTTTCCCCTTTTCATACAGTAAACAGAAATAAGCAATATTTTCAGTACTTGATCTCTGGCAGTTCAGCATTCTGATGGATATTCTCTAGGATCTCTAAGCATTACTGCAAATAACATCTAATTAATAATGTCAATTAAAGCATTAATAAAAGATTTGCATTTCTTCCCAAAGAGTGACATTTACAGTCTGGTCAAACAGTGAATAGCACAGTCTGTCAATGCGCTGGAGAAACCATCTTGTGTCAAGGATAACAGTGGCTTTTTCAGGAGTTCATTGAGAGCAGTTCTTGATTTAATAAGTGGTGTTGTAAGACTCTGTTTAATAGCTGATGTTGTGTCCACATGTCTCTATTTTGGGTTTAGCTACATGTGAAAAGCACAGGTGTCATTCACGTAAGACATAAAATCATGATATTTAAGATGTAATTATCATAGAATAATAGAATTATAGAATGGCTTAGGTGGGAGGGACCTTAAAGATCATCTCATTCCACCCCCTGCCACAGGCAGGGACACCTCCCACTAGCCCAGGTTGCTCCAACCTGGCCTTGGACACTTCCAGGGATCCAGGGGCAGCCACAGCTGCTCTGGGCAACCTGTGCCAGGGCCTCCCCACCCTCCCAGGGAAGGATTTCTTCCCAATATCCCATCTAACCCTGCCCTCTGACAGGTTAAAGCTATTCCCCCTTGTCCTGTCCCTCAAAAACATAATCCTTGAATTAATCCCATTAAAATGGGTTTCAGGTCGAAATGCGGATGAAAATCATTATTTATTTATTTTTCATTTCTGGGAGAGCAACATATTTCATTATATCATCGTGTAATCATGTCAGTGGTGCTCCTCTTCATCAGCAGTGAAGTCTGATGCCCCAGTTCCTTGGTGTTTATGCCCTAAGGGTGAGGACACGAGAGGCTCCTGTGGCAGCTCGTGCAGTGAGGGGCCCTCCAGTCCTGCCCACCCAGCAGGAGGAAATTTTCTGAGTCAGAAGGGCACTTCTTGAATGAAAAACAACCCACAAAAATACCATTTCTCGGGAATAGTGTGAAAACTGGGAGGGACTGCCCTGTGTCTGGGCTTCCCTACAACCCCAGCTCAAATGCAAGCTCAGGTTCTGTCCCTGGATGTGTAAATACGTTAAACACAGGAATAATTCCATATGAATTCCAGTGCATTCTCCTACAGGTGGGCAAACACAGCCCAAACACTGGAATGGCTTTCTGTCAAGTAAACACCAATATTTTGGTTCAGGACACACAAAGATACATTGTCTGAGAGAAGGGCAGCAGCAGCACACGGGAATTTAAAGGGGTTACAGGGAATTTAGGGAATTTCAGATGGTGGCTGAATGTTCCCTCATTATGTCCTTGTGTATAAATAATATAAATATAAATATGATTATAAATATAAATATGATTACAAATATAAATATAAATAATATTAATATGAATATTATTAATATAAATAATATTAATATATGTATGTATATGTGCACACAAATATAATGGTATATATGTGTATGTTATTCCATCATTTAATAGATGGACTTTTGACTTTTAGTTGTAATTCGGGGCACGATGTTCAATATAAATCTAATTGACTTTCCAGTAGCTTATTAGGGAAAATGAGGTTGATGGATCAAGCCTAAAAGCCTATACAGTCAAAGGTTGCACTGGAACCGCCTTCAGTGCATTAGTAGGGCTTAGATATATAGAAAAATGCCTTAATAAAAGGCAAGTTTGCTCTTAGAGCGATCAGAATATTAACTTTGTTCGAAGTGTGAATCCCTTCATGATGCCAAGCACAGCAAAATGCGATAATAATTTGTGTATATATTAAAAATATCTCTATGAAAAGCCTATTCATGTTGGAAAACCTAAATTACTGTGATGTTTCAGGGTTATTATGGATGTCATGAAATTCAAAATGAACTCAAATCCAATATTTTAACATCAATGTGCCTTACTACTACCACCTATATTTGGAGTGAAATGAGGGTAATTTTTATTTCATAGATTATAGGAAAAAAAAACCTTTAAAACATTTAAACATAAGGAAAATATCTTTTTTTTTTTTC